CCATTATCATAGGTATATCCAAGCAAGAATTGAGCTGAAGAATTATTATTATCTGATAGCTCTACATAAATGCTAAATGCTAGTTCAACGCTTTTTTCGACTATGAATCCAGTTTGAGAAAGAAACCCTAAAAGTAGCTTATATCGAACATTGGTTTCCAAATAATTATAAATCTCAAGCGAATTCTGACTATGTGTGTCATAATACAATTGTAGTTCGGCGCCTATTGCATTCAAAGCTTTACCTTTGGCGAGTAAATTATTTAATAAAGTTTCTAATTCGTCAATAATTTTAAAATCCTGCTCATCATTTGAAGTTTCTAATTTTGAAATTTTCAATTCTGATTCGTTTTCATCTTCGGAAAAATTAATATCTGGAGCTAAATGAAGCGAAGCAGCTATCCATTTTATTTCTTCAAGTTGCTTGTTTATTTCGTTGATGTCTGGGCGATTTGTTGGTACATCATCCCAGCATGCCTGATAAAGGCTAACATATTTATCTGGCGTTCCGAAAATTCTGTTTTCTTTTTCTGGCGAAGTACATAAAGCATAACCGCATGGGTTATTAGCAGGAGTACGACCGCTGGAAATAACCCAAAATAATACTCCAATGCTAAAAATATCTGACTTTTCATTTCGTTTAAAATTTTCCATATCTCTTAGGAAGGCGGGATCAATATAACTTATCACACCTAAACCAGTTTTCGAGTTAGACTGATCATTTGAAAGTTTTGAATAACCTAAGTCTGAAATTTTGAGTTTTCCATTATGAACGAGTATATTTTTATGATTCTTTTATATTAACAAACGGTTTAAATTAATGTTTATGGAATCAAATTCAATATTATAAAAAAAAGATATAAGCTTTCTTACCAAATCCCGATGAATAATACCTTCATCATGTATACATTTTACTCCTCTAGCGAGTTGTTTTGCCAAATTCAATTTATCATTGCCACTCAAGTTGTTAAAATTATTATCCAAATATTCTTCGAGGGTTCCATCGTTAGCATATTTCATAACAAGCATGTACTTCTCGGAGATCGGATCTAAAGAATATTTTATTTGTGACATTATTAATGAAATTATTCAGAGAAGGTTAATTAATATATTATTTACCTTGAGTAATTCCATAAAAGCGAATAATGTTTTTATGATGAGCAAGTTTAATAAGGACTTTCAACTATAGAATGGAATGAAAGCATGTTCCATTAGTCTCGAATTTAGATGTTTCAATTCTCAAATAAAGCGATACCTCTTTAATAAATTGCTTATTTATTTCTTCATTATGTATTTTATTTTTTATATACAGGCATTTTAAGGCAACAGTTAAATATCCATCTGTCAACTCGGCTTTATATACTTCACCAAACGCTCCATTTCCGATTACTTTTTTATCGAAAAATTTATTGAAATCAAAAAATTTTATTTGTCCTTCTGCTTTAGCCTATTCCAACCAACCGATTGCTGATGACATTTTTAAATGCTTCGTTGGGGTTGTTTGTGGTGTTTAAATACATGTAGTGTTATTGTTATGTGTAACATGCAACTTTGTGGGAGCGTGTGCTGAAAATAACGACATGCATTAGATAACGTGTATTACCATTACGTTTAAACGCATTTATATACTGAATTCGTATACATGTACTCATCAAATATCACATACGAATTTATGAAATTGAATGGATAAAGATAATACATGTACAGTACATGTAAAAGAATGTCTATTCGAAAAGAGAAATTTGTGCATCATGACTTCAGTTTGGTAAAACCAGTAAATGAATGAAATTAAAAAGAAACATTGAACTACAACGTTATAATCGTCAAAAAAAATGAGCATCGTTGCAAACCATGACGACGACGATTACGATCCTCCAATAATGTAAATGAGTAAATATTTCCGGCATCTTATTAAATCAACAATAATCACGCACGTCACGATTATAAAAAGTACAGAAATAAATTGATAAATCATACTGGTGAAAATGGCTATTCGACTAACTTTCACCGCTATTGATTATCCTCACGGTACTGGCTCAGAGTATCGAAAAAAATTCATTACGTATTAATCAGGTTTGAGTATTCATAACTGGAATTTTTAATTATTTCTTAATATCTTAAAAACGGAAACTAAGAGCGAAATCAAATATATAATAATTATTAAATAGTTGGGCATAATAAAACTATTTTTCAATCGGGCATAGTAACTTATCATATGTTTAATTTGTGCATTTTTTTAGAAAAAAATATAATATACTCACAAAGAATACGGGGGGAAAATGTGGTATTCGATCATGAATTTGAAGTGCAACTACTGAACAAAATAAAAATATTTTATTAATTAAAATATTATTTTTCTATTTAAAAAAAAGTATATCTTATTTTGTAATTTTATTCCTCATAACACAAGCAATCCCGTAAGAAACTAATTTTTATTTTTTATTTTAATCTTTATTTTTATGAATAATTTTTTTCTTTTTGGACTTCAAATTTAGAAGTGGAAGTCATATACTGATGCAGCAGATATTTATAATTGGGATGGTTTGGTTTTTGATTATGTGAGATTGTGAGTGGTGCGGAGTTCTGTTATTGAAGTTCATGTTTTGATTGCTGTGATTCACATGCTTGATAATTTAAAAGAATTGAAAAATATTGAGAAGAAATTTCATGACAATAAAATAAAAATAAGAATCCAGTAAAAAAATCATTGAATAGCACATTTTCCCCCGCATTCTTTGACAATACCTAATATTAAATTGTAAATAAATTATTTTTTATAAGTTTAATTTTTTTTAAGATTTAGGTGCTATTCTCATTATCCTCGTCCTCATCAGTACCTTGCTTATCATCCAGGTTCGAGCTGCTAAATCTCTTAATTGTTTCCAAGCTTCTTGGATTATTGATGAATTTTCTGAGGTTATCAATTCTAATATCTGAATCTAACTTATCAGAACTTAGCGAGTGAAAACCTTTTAATTCTACTAATGGATAAAGTTAGTTTCATAATGGAGAATGAATCAATTTTTAGAAGAAAGGATAGCAAAATTCCTGCCTTATCTTTTTGATTTAAAAGATGAGAAGTTTACTTCAGTATTTATTTTATTATCACAATCATTATTTGTTTCATTCTCAAAGATGTTATCCACTTTCTCATCATTCTCTTGCTCTTGCCTGTTATTTTCTAATCTATCAGATATGAACTATATAATAATACACATGTCAGTACATACATTCTCCAATATATATAGCAATACATATTCACTGGAGGATGAAGAATATATATTGTTATATATATGTTATTTGTGTGTTGTTCTGTACATTTAATATTTATTAACCTCTTTTCTAAAATAGATTCAATATTAATAATTATTTATATAGAATGTATTGTATTTTCTTTTTATTAAAGAATTATGAAGAATAATCTGATAATTATTAAGCAAGAAAGTATTTGAAATTGTTTTCATTTATATATTATCTGGTTTATATATTTTTATTTTATTTTTTTGAAGAGAAAGATAAGACATATATAACTTTTTCATTTTTTTTAAAAGATAATTAAGATATGACATATATTATTTAAAAAAGATAATATAACTTTTTATTTTCTCTTCTCTTTTGAAAAGGATAGGATATGACTTTAGAAAAGAAAAAAAAAACTTTATTATTAAAACCTGTTTCATACTAAAAAATAAATATATTAATGTGTTGATAAAAAATTACAGAAACCACTTATTATATATGTGGTTATTATTTTTTATATCTGTTATTTCTTGTATTTACCTTATGAGAAAAGTCCTCCAAAATTTTATCGGAACGGAATTGATACTTAATACCTGAAACCATAAGGAATTGTTTCGGAACCAAGAAGGAATTGATACTGACTGTGATTTTGGACATTTAGATTTTTTTTAAAAAGAGGGAATTATTACGGAACCGATACCAAAATACGGAATTCTTTTGGAATTTTAAGACTAATATTTTATGGAACCAGTAAATTTTTGGAATGCGTACTGGAATTTATACTCAATACGAATCGATTCGTAATGTAATACGAGAATTTATACTCAATACGAATCGATTCGTAATGTAATGCGGAATTTTACGCAATTTTTATAGAACTAAAACTAATGCCAAACATAATCATAATGTAAAAGGAGTTTTCATAGAATCTATTACTGGATATATGATTGATTCTGACATTATGACATAATATATCTGGAATACAAAGATGGAACTTAATTCTCAGAATCCATAATAAATGAGGCAAATTATAATAATTTACAGATTAATGGTGGAAATTAAGATCAATGGTGGAAAATACTACTTTTGATTATATCATTTTTTATTCATGATAAATTTTTTTATGTCTGTCAAATAAATAAATTACATCATTTATACCTTATCAACTTTTACTGAGTTTCACATTGGGCATAAATAATTCAATCAGAATATGGTTAGTAACAATTTATATTGGAATGTAGAATCACGTTAAGTAAATTATTATGCTAATCATTTTCTGTATGAAAAATTATTACACCTGTCATAAATGCATTTTTGTATTTCCAAAACAATTTGATAAATTTATAAATAGATTGAAAATTTTGAAAAAGATGATTTTTATTTTTATTCTTTCAAAATTCTTTCAAAATTATCTGTTGAGATTCAAACTATTAGGTTCAACCATATCTCTTTCTGATATCAAAACAAATGTTAGTTCACCACAGACTTCTGCTTTAAGCGCACACTCTCAAAATACTTTGATACAAAAACCAAAACATGAAAATGGTTGACAAAGATCAATATCATACAATATATTAATATTGACTGAAAAATTGTTCTTGTGCTAAAAGATCGTGTTCAAGAAGACTGACACGATAATACCTGAATTTTCCATCGACTAATAGATAGTATGACAAAATCGTGTTAATGTTTGTATTAAAGCTAAAGGAGGTCCGACAAAGTATTAATTTTTGTTTGCCATAGCCTTAACCCTGTTCCCACATGGGTAAGTTATATGGAATGTTTAGTTTAGCTAAACGCATCTTGGATTGATGAGATAAATTTCATAATAACGTAAAATTTTCACTTTACGTTTTTTATATATTTTTTGAATTAGTAATTCATTTCACTTGAAATTTTAAAATAATGTCGTCATTATTATAATCGAGATTGTCAAGGTTTTATGCGATTATATAAAAGTAATTTTTTGACATAAAAAATTATCAATAACAATATAAAATATTTTTCTGACAATTTAAAATTAATTGATACTTTAATTTGAATTATAATGCTTGATATTCTGAAAATTATATGATCGTTTCAATTTGTCTCTGTTCCCGACCATTCGTTTTGGTGATGTTTTATTTATCGTTATGGCTTAATTTAATACTTTTTCTGTCGATTTTAATAAAAAGTATAATCAAACTCCCAAATATCACGTTTATCTTTCGTTTGCAATGGACGAAGATTTTGAGTTTGTTCAATTTGAAAGACAAGAAAGAACTGAGTCAATGAATCAATAAGTCAAATCTCAGTGACAATTATTGAATCTGATACAAATTCGATTAAACCAAGCAGTTCAACCGTCTGGCTATATTTTATAAAAACGCCTATGGGAACGCAATGCAAAATGTGTCATCAGCTATATAAATTATCTACCGGTATTTCAACTCTTCAAAGTCATCTTAGAAGACATAAATTTATGACACCAACAAATAAAAATAAAGCAATCTCAGCATTCAAAAATCGAATCCTTTTGATTATCTGAATAAATGGAACATAAGCTTTTAATCACCTGGATAATTTGCGAGCTTCAACCATTCATTGTGGAAAACATAATATTTTCGTAGAATATTATTTTAATTTTTTTGCCCTCGTTATAAAATTCATAATCGACAAGAAGTCAAAGATATGATTATGCTAAAATTAGTATGATTTGCAAATATACCTAGAAAAAGAATCAATAGAGAAGCTTTTCTAGGAACTACATAGATTTTTCATGGAATCTTCGCAGCTTTCTTTTGGACATTATACCTTTTAAAATTAGTCTACAAGAGTTAATTATAGCTAATACAATTATAAATATATTGCAAGAACATAAATTATTAGAAAAAAACCTTAGCAATAACAAACTGATAACGCATCAGTAATGATTGAGAAAATGCAAAACAAATTAAAGATGATATATCGCAATTGACTTTTGCTCATTATTGTTGTGAAGCTCATATTATAAATATCAGCGTTCAATAAGGCTTGAAATTGGCAGATGAAACAGTTGAAAAAATTCGAATACAATGGAAGATATCAAAAATTCAGTCAAAAAATCTGATAGGTTACATTAATATTGGGGCTGCTTATCTTAAACCCAGTTTTGTATATAAAGCGTGATGGAATTCAACTTATTACATGCTGCAGTATTGTCACTTCTTGTTAAAGAATATAAATCAATTCAAACAAATTATCCAAATGAAAATAATTAAAGTAACTTTTATTTGTTGTTAAAGAATAATTGTTCATAATATTTCTTAATTTACTATTTTATTCAGGGTATGGTTACGACTGCTACATCATATTCAAGTTTAGCTTTATATTTGAAGGAACTCAAGCATATTTAAATAATTTAATTGAACAAGAATGAATTTATCCAAAGTGAATTTGTATCATCAATTAAAAAATCGAGAAATATTGATTAATATCGAATAAATCCTCACTATTTTGGATCCTAGAACAAAATTATCAATTTTTCTGACAACAAAGTTAATCAGGCAGTTGCTCAAATGGCATATATATAATATTTGTCAAACAAAACTTTCAAATATCAACAATTCTTCTCAATCTTCAACTCATCATCTTTTTGCCCAATTTCAACGTAATAATTTACAATCGATGAGTATAATTCAACAAATATCACAACCATATTTCAGAATACCTGAATTGAATTGATGAAAATATTACTCCATTAAATTGGTGGTCAACGCATGGAAAAAAGAATTTCCAATATTAAGTGCTACTGCTCGTGATTAACTATGTATACAAGCAACAAATGTTGCCTCTGAACGAGCTTTTTTAGTTGCTGACAATACACTTACTCGTACTAAAAATCAGGTTGTTACCTGAAACTGCAAGAGCTATTCTTATGTTAAAAGTTGGATCGAAAATGTATTGATGAAAATAGGATATTTTATAGTTAATATGATATTTATGTTTTATTCTTCAACATCAATTAGATCTTTTTAATAGCATTTATAGTTCAACTCCAATAAAACGAAATATATAGTATGCGTAAATATATCGATATTGTGTGATATCGTTGAATTTTAATCATGCAATGAGATTTAATTTTGAGTTAGTTACACATAAACCGATTATGCATGAACCACCACATCACTAATTATGATTGAAGAAATCATTTGTTTTTTGTGTTATTGTATTTTAAAAAGGTTCCACGATATTCTAGAACCAATTCAAAATGACGTCCCTATCCGCGCCACACAAGGCTTAGTTCAATCGAGGAGGCTTTTAAAATGTGTCACAAAAAACAATCAAAAAATTTAAAACTAGATAAATTTTGTCCAATTTCTCAGGCTTTCACGGTATTATGGCAGAACCAAAAAAAATCAAATTTTTGAGGTTTATTTTCTCTGCAATTAGCTATTTTTGTTTACTTAGTTATATCTGTTGGAAGATCATCAAATTATGCGAGGGAGAAATAATCCTAACTTATACTAGAAAAACAAACACAAATATACAAGCACCATGTAAAGAAAAAAGCTAAAGTACACTTTTAAGCAATGAAAAGACAAATGATACTAAGATACTTTTGATGATTTCGTAGATTTAAACTTTACTTTTCATGAGTCATACCAGATTAATTGTGCATTCATTTTTAGTGGTGAGTGTGCAAAAAACTGATAGGTTTTCAAGATATCGGTATTAACTGACCCTCCTTATATCCAATTTTTTCAGCTCCTGAAAAAATTTTTATACTTGATATCCCTACTGATGGCACTCCAGATTGTGAAAACAGAATATCACAACATCGAATCGGATCAGATTACATTTATGTAATTTTTAATTCAACAGATTTATTTTTTAATCGCACAATTAGTTCCGGATTGGATTTGATTACTTTCACTTTCTGTGAAAATCACGAAAACTGGCCAAAGGAAAGAATGTCTGTACTACCCGCCTATAAAGGTAATTTGATTTTAGCGTTAGTCACTGATTTATGCATTATCTATTAACTAAATAAGACCCTTTCTAGTCAATACAAACGGATCGCAAGCCGCAGCAATATTTTTATCTGGTGTTAACGATAATAATCAAAATTTATTTGCACATGGCCAAGTGCGTTTCTTATATATGTTTTATTCACGCATCACTAATTGTTGACGTTATTTTTTACACATCATACAGTATAACGTTCTCAAATTTACACCAATTATACGCAAAATACTTAATACCGATAATGCAATAAACATATTTATAGGATTTCCAAAATATTACGAAATTCCGTATGTTAATTCCGAGATACGTAAGTCTTAAAAAATTTCTATTTTCAATCTATTTTAAAATATTCATCTTTTTATTTAGAAACTATCGCGAAAAGTCGTAATCCGCTTCTTAAAAATTGCACTGTGCTTGAAATACGTCCAAAATCTTTTATCGTTGAAATAGAGACGGAAGTCTTGTAGGTGTAATAAACGAACCACTTTACATTCGTATTTTTTGGTGATTTTTTCGTTTGTAATTTCCTATTCATTATTTATAGTTCGCTTTTTATTCAAACAGCACTTTAACAGTTACTGACATCATCAGTGCTTTCGGCGGATTTAATAATTCTATCAAAGCATTCTATGTCATATTATTTGGTAGATTGCAATGCCCGATTTATTTCTCATTTATATACAATTTATTAACATATTTCTAATTAAGGCGCGGGTCTCATAAGCCCATGGGGTTGCATTCAATCCTTTCCAGGAGTCAAGAAAAACGTCAAAAAAGAATTCCGCAAAGACCTGGTTCGAATTTTTCCAAAAGATGACGAAAAAACCCTGAAGGAAGATTATCTGAAACAGGGTTTATATTATCTAAAAGAAGATGATGAAAAATTAAAAGAATTAGAGAAAAGACATGAAGAATTGGAACTATTCCTTAAAGAGTATGTAGTAGATATTGATAAGTTACTTGAATAAAACAAAATTGAAAAAATCTGGGATTGGATTAAATCCGATCCCTAATAATCAGTTTGTCAATGACAATAGCATTTTGGTAAATTAAAGAGGGAATTAATATTCATGAGATTATTAATATTAGAATATTGTTACGCATACAAATCCAATCTTGTTTTAAAAAAGTTAACAATGTCGAATCTTTTATTTTTACAGAAAGTGGATTTTGAGACAATTATGAAATACCCTTCTGGCCTGGTTGGAAGAACCATTGAAAGAGTGGGATCATAGATTTAAACGATTTAGTGGAACTCACATAAAATTATAAGAGAGCATTTTCTAAAATGAAAATATATAAATTCTTGGTGTGCTGCAAGCATACATGTATTCCATTTATGTCAAAATAAAAAGATCTACAGTAACGAAGTTCGGAATCTATTAACGTTAACAGTACAGTTACAGAAAACAACAGTCATGAGTTTTGTTTTGGTTTGATTAACATGATAACAAAAAGGAAAATGCTTGTACATGTAAAAATGTGCACATGTGCGGTTTCTGTGACAATTAATGCGCGAGGATTATCACCCCAAATCCTCAATTTTTTAATTTGTATAATTATTTTTAAGTATATCATGAATATAATACGGACCTTTCCATTGCTCTTCAAGTTTCTTCTTATCATGTAAGTATGTTTTAATAGTAGAACTAGGTCTCCAACTTTGAATGGCTTTAACTTTTTATCATGTCACTGTTTTTGTTGGTTTTGAGATTTGGTTTCATTATCTTTTGTTTTTGTCTGTCTTGTTTTATGATTTTGGACTTAGTATTCAAGCAGATATAGAAAAAACTAACTAAGTAATTTGTGGAGTATTTCCCTATATGAGTCCAGAAATGCTAAATTGAAGCCTACCGCTGCAGATATTTATAGTTGTATACGAAATTATAACAAGTGAACGACCATTTGGTGAGCGAAGTCATTGTCCTGTATATGACATCTATAAAGGAATATGATCTATGATTCCAAATGCTATTCCGGATTATATAAATTTATTATAGAAAAATGTTGGATCATATTCCAGAAAACAGACCAACTGCTGAGGAATTTTGGGGCTTTATTGAGCCTATTTCCAATCCAACCAACATCTTTAACAAATGGAACTGAATTCTTCGCATTTTCATTATTACAGCTATTTAGAAAATCTTAAAGCAGATGAAGAAACTAAAGAGCTTCTTAAATTAGAACAGCAGAAATAGGAAGGTCTTGATGAGATAGAACAAAAATGCTTTTCTATACAAAAACAACAAATTCACCCAAATGCAGTTTACACCAGTCGAATCTTTACTTTAAGATCAATTCAACTCTAAATGATACAGGAAGCGAGCATGCTTATTGTTATATTTAAACTAAATAAATTTCAGATTAATTTTAAATATATTTAGTTTCCACAAATGTAGTTAATTTGTTCCAATGAAAGATAAATTTACATTTGATATTTTTTTATCAATTATTTATATTAATTTTTTAATAAAGTCAGATTTCGATATCAGTATACCTCACGAAATTGAGGATAATGAGGACTTGTAAGAAAATCGAAGAATTGATGATGAAACACCAAAGCAAAAAAAAGAAAGTCTATTAAATAGCTTTAGAGCAATATTCTGTTCATCAAAAGAAAATTTGTTAGCTGTTTTTACTTTAATATTATAATTTGTTAATTATGCTTTTGTTTACCAACATATTAACTGACATCGTAAATGTATTAATAAATATCGTTGCATTAAAAATAATGTCCTGTCATAAGGATATAATGTAAAGATTATTAATGCACGAACATGTTTAATACATGTATTATGTAATACGTCTAAATGTATTTATCAATTAAAATACACTTTATAATTTAATTCGACTAATAGCATTTAGATAAGGCTTTTATATTAACGTTAATATACCATGTTCATGACATTGATTAAAACAACAAGTCCACTCAAATGCAGTATGTGCAGGTATTACCGAAGTCATGTGTCGTTCTAAAACACGTGAACCATGTACATGTACATGTACATGTTTCCATTGGAGCAATCACTTTCTATTTGGCAATTCCCGTAAGTCTGATATTTAGACTATTTTTTCTCATTTCACATTCAAGTCATGGAAAAACAGTTAACAGTTCCGAATAACCTTATGAAATAAAACTAATCAAGGCATAGAATTAAAAATATCTTGAATTTAAAGGGAATTATTTTGAGAGAATTCTGTAGAAAATTTTAGAATTCATATACAGGTCTACAACATTGATATTCTACATAAACGAGCCATCATTTTGTACCGCTTCTGTATCTTCGACTAGCCGTATTAATTACCACCACAAAATAAATCGACAATAATGTAGCAAGAATTGCTCGAAAAATAAATAAGATGATTCCAATATGTGAGTGCTTAGGAAATAAAACTCGTTCACCTGCAAAAAAGCCTTTTTGCAAGTTTCTGTCTTTCACGATTAGAATGGAATCGATGGTGAATATTACTATGTAGAAGCATGTGAGTAAGATACCGAAATGTGTGTATATTTTAAACCAATTCAACTTTTTCTGTTATAATAACAGGTATTAGCATTTGAATGTGTTAACAGAACTTCTAATTAACTGAAATATAATTACCAACGTATAGGTAGCTACTAAACCAAAGACAGCAAGCAATAATGTTATAGCTTCTATCAATATCAACAATATTAATATAGGTTTAGGGATACCATTTTTTTCACGTTCATGCATAGTTAATCCAGTTACAAGTAATAGCCACAAACCATGAAGCTAAACAGATTATGAGTAATTATTTAAATTTCATAAATTTCAGAATTCAAGCTACTTACTGTCCATATCCAAGAGATAAAATATACACCATACGATAATGGGATACATAAACAAAAACGTGTGCAACCGGGTGCACAATGTTTTCGATGTTTATTTCTTGTTCCTTCCCTTTCCTCACCCAAACTCACAATAACACTAACTTGCGGAGCCTGTGATGGAGCAAAATTTATTACATTTTCTGTAATTTCTCTTTCGTCATTCGAAGAAGCTTTGTTACTAGCAGATCTATTTAAAGAACGTGGCTCTCGAATCGCGACTGTATAAGGAACCCCATATTCAGCGGGAACCGAAACCGACTTTGACCTTGATATTGTTCCTTGAATTCCTCTGTATACATGTCGTGAATTTTCGTTAATAGAACGCTGTCGAGAATTTGAAGAGCTTGGTGAAGCCTGCGGATTTTGTTGCTGTTGTTGATAGTGTGTCTCATGATTTTCTGATACAGTTGGAAGCATATTGAAAAGGAATAAACAATTAAAGTAGGACAAAGGCAAACCCCGTATGTTTTTTAAATTCCTTTTCGTTATTCACTCGAAATTCTTTTCTACTAAATTTGTTATATTCCTTTTCTTTTGCTATGGAGATTTGACGACGTAACTATTTTGCCAGCAAAAAACCAGATGACTAGTTTTATGAAATAAATACATCAATCAATATATACGCGACAAGTCAAAACAAAAAGACGGACATAAAAATATCGTATGCATTCAAGATGGCCACTTTTCTTTCTCGATTGTTATTTTGATATCGACATATGATTTTTTGTTACTTAAATGATGATCTAACGGGGGATTTCCATTTCTAATTCATTCAGTTTTGAAAAAAAATAGTGCCGGTAAAATATTTCTCCGTGCTACACGTTCTCTGGATTTTTCTCTTTTCATTGATTCGGATGTTTCATCCTTTTTCTTTCAATTTGTAAATTTATAACAAATATTAATTTCAGAAACTATTTGAACTATACGATTTTGTTCATGAATGTAGGGTTAGTAATTCTAGTTTATATTAATTATGAGCTCAATGCTATTTCTTATTTCTTTATACTGTGATTTCTATCATTAGTTTTTCATATTAACAATTCATGTGAGCCTAGCAGAAAAAATCTCATTTTTACATTTGGATTCGGACCAAGATTTATGCCCTGGTAAACCTATTGGCACAGCGAATCTAAAAGTCCTTGTTATCGCAAGTATTCCGTAGAATTGTTGAATAAGGATTTACCAGTAAAACAGAGAGTTGCGCTAATTACTGTTTGTGAATACTTGAGAAAATTTAAAAATATTTTGTAGATAAACTATTTTAATTCAATAATTATTGTTTTGTTGTAAATGTTTTGAATAAACTAATTAGTATATACAGTGTGATTTGGAAAATGATTGTCATCAATCGTCGCACATGAAATAACCAAAATTAGAATAAAATGTACTACAAAAAATAGAC